CACACCAAAATGAAGTGATTTCTCATTTGTGATTTGGTTGTTGTAATTTTTTAGCTCTAAAAACACGTGATTTAAATTCCATGGCTTTGTTTAACTGTGATTATTTAGAAATGGTCTCTGTATTTAATATTTGATTTATATTTTATACCTATATTTTAAATATTAATGTTAATTTCAAACAGAATTACAAAGTGTAAAGTTAAAGGTGTTTTGTTTATTGTGAAATATCTCGTACAGCTCATCAGTAGTGTCCATTAGGGGGCAGTACCCCACACTTTGAGAATCACTCATGTAATAAATTCTGTTTAGGTTTTTCATGTGATGTCATATTTCTCAAGAGTGGTCCGCCATGTTGGACGTGATACAACCTCTGGTTTCTAGAGAAAAAAAAATTGTATTCCCTGACCCATTGGCAAGTGTTTGCTGTGAAATTGGTGATTAGCCTTGTGTTTGTTAAATGGGCCCCAACTGATTTTATGTTTTTGAGCTCTTATTCATTGACCCTACAGCATCATGTGCCTAGAAGATAATCCATGACTGAAAAACCCGAATAGTAGAGGTGAGGCCTAGCACATAGCTAGCAGTTACACCACATATGTCAATCAAGAAAGCCATATCCAAGATTAAGCCTCACCGGTATGCAAATGGATGTGTGGATGAAAATGGATGAAAAATAAATCGCCTACCTTACAGTTAATATAAAGTAAGAAACTATGCATAGAGACCCAACCCTTTTTTGTACCAGGCTGCAAACACGTTCATTAACATGGGAGTCTATCGGGACTGACTCGTTTTTGGAGCCAGCCTCAAGTGGTGACTAGAGGAACTGCAATTTTAGATCATCTTTCAGCCTTGCCTTGTTAAGTGAATGGCATGACTTATTATAAAAATGTAACTTTTAATAATTTTACTGCTATGTAAAAATGTGATTGCTCTGAAGCGCATAAAATGACCACAGATGTATATTTCTGAGATCTGTGTGCTGTCATTTCTTATTACTTATAATCAGATATGCAGTCTCTGTGCTGATGCCCACACCTGTGACGAGCCAAAACCAGCCGATAAAACCTGCCAAAACTTGTTTGTGTTAAGGCTCCAAGAAAGCATTAGTAATGCTGTTTGTTCCGGCATGTTAGTATTGTGGATCCTTGAATATATTTCCTAATAAACCTAGATCATGCTGTCAGTCGATGATGTGAGATGTTTTTTCTTTCTGACCCATTCTTAACTGTGTCATCTCTCCTCACCACAGTAACTGCCCGTGCTCCCTGGCTGCCGCCTTGGCCAGAGCCACAGCAGACAGCCTCCTGCAGACTGACCTCTCTATTCACCACCTCAATAAGACTGTAGAAGATGGAGCTGACCCATTACCACGTGAGTCCCCAGGGAGCCCACGAGACCGCTCTCTCACACAAATTAGGTCTCTCTCTCACTTCATCCCACACACATGCACATAGGCATATAACCACCAGGGGTTTGTCCCAGTTCTCCCCCACAAAGCTGCACGGAGAGGTGTTTGACCGCTAGAGGGCACAAAGTAGACTCCGAAGCACACCCAAAGCTGTCAGCCAGGATGTGCTAAATCCAACAATGGCCAGCATATTTACATCAAAATGGTTTTCAAGCTACATGAAAGCTGTATACTGGAGAAAACACAGCATGCAAAGATATACAAATTACCTTCAACAGTCAACATCTGCTCAAACTGCAATTAGGCTGTCAGTTTGTCAGCTGTCATGTTTTGCAGAGGACGACATATGTATTCGTCAAAAATAGTCCCAAAGAACTGCTGTTTAACATGTACATTGCCAGCTGTTTTCAAAGGCAACTGTCTTTTTGGGGTTTTGGGGTTTTTTAAAAAAATAAGCTGAAATGATGTATTTATAACTTGTTTTTTAACTTAATGACTCCTTTGGGAACTAAAGTAAAGGAACCCGTTCAGTATTGACAGTCTAAAGTGTTGCTCTGTTAGCCCTTTTGATCGATTTGTGAAGGAAAACAGTTTCATTTCAAAAGGAGTCCTTCAACTGTAGCTTGCTCTCTTAATCCTGGTGGTGTGGTTGTTGGTGCCAGACTGGTCTGAGTATTTCAGAAACTGCTGATCTACTGCACAGCCATCTCTAGGATTTACAGAGAATACTTGGAAAAAAGTAAATATCCATTGAGTATCAGTTCTGGAAGGGAATAGTAACTTAAATAACCACTTGTTACAACCAAAATGCAGAAGAGCAGCTCTGAATGTTGAATCAGATGGACTACAGCAACAGCACTAGTTAGTCAGCTAAGAACAGGAAACTGAGGCTACAGTTCACCAGGCTCACTAAAATTGCTGTCTTGTCTCGAGTCTTGGTTTCTGCTATATTTGGATTGTAGGGTCAGAATTTGCCATAAACAACATGAAAGCAGGGCTCCATCCTGCTTTGTATCAATATTTCAGGCAGGCGGTGGTGTAATTGTGTCGGGGATATTTTCTTGGCACACTTTGGGCTTCTTACTACCAACTGGGCATCATTTAAACACCACAGCCTGCCTACTGTTGATGAGCATGTCCATCCCTTTATGACCACAGTCCACCCATCGTCTGATGACTGCTTCCAGCAGGAAAACACACCATGTAAAAAAGCTTAAATCATCTCAAACTCGTTTCTGAGTTCACTGTAATCAAATGGGCTGGTGGTTCAACGGGAAAAACAAATCTGCAGCAACTGTGTGATGCTATCACGCCCATATGAGCAAAATCAAAATGTTTCCAGCATCTTGTTGACTCTGTTGCATAAAGAAATAAAACATCAAACAATGTACAAGCAGTGCATACCTAATAAACTGTCCGTTGAGTGTATGTTCTAATGTAACTTATTGTGGTTTTTAATCATTTGTGCAAAAAGGAGATGAAAAATCGCACAAAATTTTCAAACATAATTACTTCTATTTAGACAAAAAGATACTCTGCTACTCACAGTCTGAGCGACTTATGTGTGTATAAGTTTTATATAGCTCTAAAATATAGCTTTTTCCATTTTCCATTGTGGAAATTGTCTCTGATTACAAATTATTTAAAATGTTAACAGGCATCTCAGTTTAATATTTAAATATTAAACTGAGATGCCTAATTATGGAATGATTAGAACCAAATTCCAATAAAATCTAATCTGATAGTGTTAAAAAAAAAACATAGAGGTATTAACTGACAGCCATTATCCATGCCACAACAATGGACCTATTTCTGCAAAATACTAAAAGTTGTAGGAGCAGTAAATTCAGAGGTTCATGGTAGGAAACATTAAGTATATTGCAACGGCACGTGCAAATATCAGTTAATTAAAAATGATTTATTCTTTGAAAACATGTTTTTAACCATTTTTGATTTGTCGTGCAGCCAATCATTTGCTAACAGTCACAAAAATCTAGTATTGCTAACATATGTCAGAGATGTTGTTTTTTCTTACAGTGAATAAGAAATTATAACTTTACGTTTCAAATTCAAAAACACTTTATTTATTCTCAACAGAGCAATTATAAAGGAGCAGAGAACGTCAGCTGAGACATACAACATTGAAAAAAATTAAATAAATAGAAAAAGTACAAAAATATAAATGCAATCCAATTACCAAAAACACTCATTATTTACTAAAAGCATAAAAGCATAAAGACTGGGTTTGTTTCCATTACATTACACCAGTTTCTCTTTAGTTCTCCTGCTTTAAGCGGGCGAAGAGCATACAGTGAATCCAGCATCAGGAGCTGTAGAAAGGTTGTAAATGTTCTGCTCTTGCTGGAGTTGGAGTGAGGCTCAGAGTGCACCACCACCACCACCACCATCTCTCTGCTTGTGCTTCTTGTGTTGTGTAACAGCCGATCACATCCTGTTTGATGCCGCTTCATTGCACGCCACAATTCTCTTTTTTTCCCCCTCCAACTATTTGCAAGGTGTTATGAATAGACCCTTACAACATCTCCATTTGGAGCAAGACAGACGGGAGGAGAGCGTGAAACATTCGGCTCACAAAGTGCAGTTTATTACCAGGACATTGGGTTTGATGTGCACATACTTTTAAAAAGGAGGATGAGTGGGGGGAATGGGATGCAGCACCAGCTGGCTCTCCATCTCGCTGATGCCATATTTTTTCAAGCAGAGTAACAGCGAGAAGAGAGAGAAAAATCAGGATAGACTATAATACCGGCAGCTAGCATTAGTAGGTCACGCTCACATACTCGCACAGACTTGGTTATTACAGCGAGCGCCTATTCTGCTTACAGGCTCGCCTCTGTTCCACTAACTTGTGTACCTGAGTGAAATCTGCCAATGACTTTGCCTTTCTGACAAAGTAAAACAGGCCCCTGGAGTGCCTCTGTTCACAAGGGTGTAATTTCCTCCGGGGGATGAGGAGTTTTCAAATGTCATTGTTGGTTGTTTTTTTTGACACAGCAGAAAAATTTAGACAAGAACCTTTTAGTTTAATTCACCCTGTAAAATCTCTCTGAGAGGAAGATGTGCAGGGACTACCCAGGGATAAAGTACTTTAATTTCACCCATGTTTCTTTCATTTTTGTGGGGGTAAGAAGAAAAGAAATTGTCCTAAAACAACATCTTGTTTGGAATAAAAATGCAATACGAGCAATGCCCACTTATGCGTTTGCTCTGCTACGGTTCTCTCGCAAAGCAGTTCTTGGTAAATGTTACTGACGATTTGTCTTCTGCTATCAGGAGAAATATTAAACCTTGTCCAGAAAACTGTGCTGTAAGGATGAAAATGGCAACGGTGCAACCAAATAATTGGAACTGTGATCCACATGAAGCAATAAAAAGGTTTATTTATTCAAATACTTACTCATTAAAGAAAATGCTCTTGTTGTAAGCTGAATGTAGACCAACCTCATGAAGGTTCCAAACTCATTACCTTTCTTTTTTCCTCTCCATCTGGCCAGTACGAGCAAAACCTGCCAGAGGAAAATATAGGAACAAAGAAGTAGCAAAATAACAATGTTAACACATAATTATTTTCAACTATTAAATCCCCCCTATCAACTTAACTGAACTTAACTACTGAGGTTTTGTTGAAGACAGAGTCGGTAAATTAAAATAAATTGATATGGTGACAGACACAGACGTCACACCCCTGCAATGGCTTATCCTGATCAGTTACCAGAAAATGTATTTATGCTCATTTATGTAATCCCTTAATGCACTGCTCAAATGAATTAAGGGACCACTTGATCATCATAGTATGACACACAAACGTCTGGGATATTAATCTCTCCAGTCGGGAAGGAGAAACCACTGCGAGTCCATTTCAGCTTTGATGCAAATGAAATTGGCGACAGGTGCACTGAAAGGCAACAACAACACAGGCTCCAAAAAGGGAGTGTTTTTGCAGGTGGTGGGCACAGATCATTGCTCTCTCCTTCTCCTCTGTGGCTCTATTTTTTTCTACAGTTTTGCTTTTTGCCAGTGTCCTGATCACTGCTGTTACCACGAGATGGTATCTGTTGCACAGGGAGTCCAGCTTCTCCACGATCAAAAGGTTTCCTGTGTGAAGAGCGTGGACGAGATATAAGGAGATGGGCTGTAGGAAAGCAAGACAAGGGCTCAAAAGGGCCGAGATCTCCTCCTTTATGTGTGAAAGAACAGGAGGAAAACTGCCAAAGTCCTGTAAATTATGACTTCGGCCAGGATATTCACGTGCATGAGGTCCCAACGTCCTAGAGTGGGGCCTGTGCTCATAGATGAGAAAAATGCACTTCTACTGGCTTTCACCAGGAAACAGAGCTGGCAGGTCTATACTGAGCTCATTAGACAGATACTGTCTAAAATCCTGGAGAAGCTGGTCTAGCTGGATAACCAGAATGGGCTGCAAGTCCCGTCCCCTGTTGCCAGCAGTGACAAAGGCACCAGCAAAAAGCAAAACTAGAAAAATCAGTCAGGAAGGAGAAGGAGAGAGCGATGCCCTGAAGCACCACCTGCGAAACCATCCCCTGTTTAGGGCTTGTCTCGTTGTTTCTTCTCAAATGCACCTTTAATCACTTTGATTTCCACCAAAGTAGCTGACATGGATTCAGAATGGTTTCTGCTTCCTAACTGGACAGATTGGTAACCCTGAAGTTGTGTTATATTGTGACGATAAGTGCTCCCTTCATTATTTTTTGAACAGCAAAAACACCAGGTGTTTTCTAATTTCTCAAACATGAATCTTTGCAGTTTATATATAAATGTAAACTGAATGTCTGAGTTTTAGATTAGACATCTAAAAATGTTGCCTTGGACTCTGGGAAACTACACTGAAGATTTTCTGTGTTTTCCTGACATTTCATTGAGGAACAGCTAATTGACATAAAAAATAAATGTACTTTGTACCTCAAACAGTTATTGCAAACTTACATTAAACCTTTCCTTAAATGAAATAAATAACTATCATATAAATTTAAATGGTCACAAAAATGATCACTGATTTACAGATGTGCCATTTCAGGGTAACCGAAATATTGTTTTACTTTCGCTATGATAAGAAAACTGGATTAAACTGTAAGAGCGATTCATGCACATTTTCTTTATCTTTCCCGTACTCTGTGTCACTATTAGAAGCTATTGTTACTGCAGACTGAGCGATCACCTCTCAGACAGCTTTCAGAGGCACCTAGAGACGCACTGTCTGATGTTCAAAAGATACATCTCTGATAGAGTATACTTTCAAAAGGGCAAGCTCTATAAACTGAGCTCCAAACCAACAGTGGAAGCAATGAAGCTAAAATAGAACAGCCCGGCTCATCGTGTGTGTGTGTTTGTGTGTGTCAGAGATGGAGTCTGTGAAGCTGGCCCGGCTGGTGTTTAATAGACTGTTTGAGACGTGCTGCCTCTGGCTGAAGGAGCTCCCCTTCCGCCGTCGTCCACAGCCATATTATGAGACATCCATCCACGCCATCAAGAACATGCGGCGCAAGATGGAGGACAAGCACATCATCATCCCTGACTTCAACACACTCTTCAATATTCAGGTAGGGGTTAGTGTCAAAAACTCACAAAACTTCATGCATTAAATTTGTTACGCTAGGCCAGAGGTCAGCAATCTGCAGCTCATGAGCCATGGGTTAGAATTACGGACAATCATAACCTAATTAATACACTATCCTGGATCAACACAATAATGATTGTCCGGGATCAACATTGGAACTGACCAATCACACTGTTGTGATGTCATAGCTTTGCGACTTTCAAAAAAACTTGCTGATGTCCACTTAGGAAAAGGTTAGGTTTAGGATTACGGGGCTATAGGTTAGGGTTATGAGATCAGGGTTACGGTTTTGTGTGTGGTGGGACGGTCTTTCCACATCGCAAAACAATGACATCACTACAATGTTGAACCTGGACCAACGTTACTTTTGTTTATTCAGAAACAACACTAACATGACAATATCAGATCAAACATTAATACATATACTATGTGTATTATTTTTATCCTATCTGTCCACCGTCAGCCCCCGCCGTCACCTGCGTGTGCGGCTCTTTTTTCCCTTTGTTTGGTAAGAGGAGCTAAAATGGCTCTTTTGATGTTGACGGTTGCCAATGTCTGTTTTAATATCAGTCCACCCTTCTCTAACATTAGACCTCAGAACTTTCAGACACAACATCTAAACTTAAGGTAGGGGGGCTTTTATGCTCATTTCTGGCCCCTTGTTTCTATTTTTGTACTCTGTTAGCAACAACAAGCCTTTTCAAGCTAGGTTTTTTTAAGATTGGCTGCCCTTCCCAACAAAAAGAAGATTTGAAGAGCATGTGGGTGGGGCTTCTTTCCTTGTAGCAAGAGTTCTGTGCCTGAAATGGCCATATAAAGATAATCTGATTTAACTTACATCTGTCTTTCAAATAACAACTAGTCTCTTTTTTTTCTTAAAAAAAGAGACTAAACAAAACTGACACGTTTTGGCATATAAGCCTTCATCAGGGAGTTGGAACAATTTGGACAATGGCTCCATTTATAGTGGCTTTCTATCAATAGGAATCCTCAAACCCGGACAAGGTGTAGGAGTCTAAAATGATGTCAAAATATAAAAATTTCAGAAAATGTTCTTTTTCTGAGCCTATATGTTTATATCTGTTCAAAACAAAAGAAATGTGAAGGGTCCACCTACTCAAACTGTCTGAAATGGAACATTTAAAGCAGCACATGTACATTTGCTAATCCCACTATTAGAAAGCAGTGAACATCCACCATTGTTAAAAGTGTGTGTATGGTGGATGTAAATTAACTTTAGACAAATGTCTGCTGTTTACCTTGACTACTAGTAAAGCTCTTCTTGTCTGTAATATTGATTACTCTGATGATCAAGTGGTTTCTTAATTCAAGCATACCACGACTAAAATGCAACATTCTCTCTTTAAGCTAACCACGTTAGCAAACAGCAGTTGTTCAACATTAGGATGAAGTCAACAACTACCCCAAAGTAAAATTAATAGGTAAATTAAAATAAATAATAAAATAAATACATTAATAAAATTACTCCTGTCTGAAAAATATTTGCAAGATAATGCAGCTCACAGTTTGGACTTTAGCAGCCTTCCAAATGTCCTAAGCATACCATATTTATTATTTTGTATTCTGAATTAAACTGTAACAAACAATTTTATTTTTATTTAATAATTTATTGATGAAATAGGGCTCAAAAACTTACATTAGGACCATAAACTCCACAGTAAAATGTTTTCCGAAATCAGAGAAGTCGCCTCCTGCTGGCAATAAGAAAGAATGCAGTCGATTTGGCACAAATCATATTAAACACCCAGCTTCTCTCTCTCTTTGTTTGGTTGCCCCTAAACTCCTCCGACATGATCAGACCTTGAGCAGCCAGGTACATCTTGGGCCCCTGAAGGATCTTATTTCATCATCATGGTGCCTAGCAACTACCCACCATCATGCTAAAAGGACCCATATGTAGCATTTAAGTACCTATAATTCCGTATATTTTATATATAATACCTCAGCAAATATTGCATACAGTAACTTTTGATATATCCAAATTGTGATGTTTGCAGTCTCAATATTACGTTACATCATTTGACCAATTAGGCCATTAAGTCATTTGAGTTTACTGTATTTAGGGACTACATCAAAAGTTTAATGCCAAATAGATAACTGTGAAAATTTGTTTTTGTGATATGGGAGTTTCACACCATGCAGTCCAGCCTACAAAATCACGTTTTTTCCTGTCTGCCAGGATCAGGAAGAGCAGGCTTTCTTTGCTGTGTTTGACGGTCATGGAGGTGTGGATGCTGCCATTTATGCGGCCAATCACCTTCACGTGAACTTAGTCCGGCAGGAATCCTTCAGCCAGGACCCCAGCGAGGCACTCTGCAGAGCCTTCAAACTCACCGACGAACGCTTTGTGAAGAAGGCCTCACGAGAGGTAACCACATAATCCAAGGACGAAACCGTTTAGTAGTATTTACTGCACAGTATTCCTAAACTATGAAGTACTGTTAAGTTTACTCATGGTGAATAACACTATTTATTTATTATATTTATGCTATGAGTATAATTCCAACAGCTAGTCCAATTTTAATAAGAATGAGACAGAGGTATCTTTCTAAACAGCTCAATGTTTTTCTGCTCGTTTCAAAGTATTTGTGGTGATGCAGCTGCTCTTGAGAACACTGTGACATGTGTCTGTCTGGCAGAACCTACGTTGCGGCACAACAGGGGTGGTGACGTTCCTGCGGGGCCGGACGTTGTACGTGGCCTGGCTTGGAGACTCCCAGGTCATTCTGGTCAGGAAAGGGCAGGTGGTGGAGCTGATGAAACCACATAAACCAGACAGAGAGGTGAGATAACTCAGTCTCCTCATACCTCAGACATGATGAGTCCTTTATGAATTTCTCTGTGGATTGTAGAAACTCTGTTAGCAGCCACGCCTACCTGCTGTTCTGACCTTCTGTTTGTGAGGGGCAGTCAATCAGATGTAAACTTGCTCAAATAGACAGTGGCCAGGATAAGACAAATAACAATAATTTATCATCTTTAATAAAGAGTTGTTTTATACGTTGGTGCATTTTGACTTAGATGGATTTCAGATTAATCATATCTGCACTTGCATTATGTAAAGATCCAGTTACTGTATCGTGTTGATTTAATCGGCACAAGTACTGAAGCGTAAAAACATCGTCGAGTTTCCATTTTACGGCGTTATGTGGCAAAATATTTATTTTCTCTGAGCAGTTGGCAGGCGGTGAGAACTTTCGTAGATTAATTGTTACAGCCAAAAAATATTCTGGCACCGATAAACTCAGATAAAACAACACATCGTTAATTTACACTTCTTTTTTTTAAAAAATGAGAATAAATGAGATATAATGTGTTATTTAGTGATATTTTAGGGTGATTTCTGCCAAGGTTTTATATTTCACAACCAAATGTGAGAGCAGTATTATACCACCTGCCTGCTGAGTACCTGAACCTGCTGAGTACCTAAACCTGCTGAGTACCTGCACGTCGTAGTCAAACAACTGAACTCCCTTAAAAATCTGTATATAGGAAAACTTGTGCTTCATGAGCTTTCCACTTCCTGTTCATTATTGTAATTCGTCGCAAAATTTCCACTCCATTATTGCTCACCATGTGTTTCTTTGTTTAATTCTGCAACAACAATAGTAACACAGGACACATCCTCCTTCCTTGCTACATCCCAGCCTGTTTCCAGCATCCAGCATCATTAATCTAGAAACAGCACCAGCATTTCAGATTTTAAGGGCACAGCAGAGGCGGGCAAAGCATTGTGCTTTAGTACTGAGCTTTCTGCTGCAGAATGGCAGCACAAGATGATTACAATCATTTTGTGTCTGCAGGATGAGAAGCAGAGGATCGAGGCTCTCGGAGGTTGTGTGATCTGGTTCGGCACGTGGAGGGTCAATGGCAGCTTGTCTGTATCCAGAGCGATAGGTAAACTTTTCATGCATGTTCTTTTTACTGCACATTTCTTATACATTTTTGTAGCTTCATAGATGACCCTTAAACGTGTCACATTGAGTTAATCATAAAGTTTCTCTTTTGAAAAGAGAAATATGTGTGATTGTGGGCAGATTGTGGGTGGTACCCTTCTTGAAAACTGCTCATCCAAAAAGAACGACAGAAGTCATTTGCAACAGAAAAGACAAAAAACGAATATAAAATGACATTAAAACACATCCGTAAAAGCATATCCAAGTTTAGCAGCTTACACGTTTACCTGGCAAGGAAAAGACTCCCCGGTTCAGACCGAGGAATACAGACAAATCCCTTTGAGGTTTTGAGTCAGGAAGTAAAACAATCTACCAATCAAATATGCAGAGCTACCTTTTGTGGTGACCCTTTGTGAATAAGGGAGCAGCCAAAAATAGCTTCCTTACAGAAAAATTGATCCAGCTATCTTTTTGAGAACCAGACTTAGTTTTAAAGCTGCAGAGTGAGGGAAAGGAAAAGTTGCACCTAACTCTAATGTATGGGTTCACTCTTATTTTTTTCACATCCCTTCAAGAACTAACACGAGAGTTAAAGATTTCCTTTAGGGTTAAACTTATAATTTAACCCTAAAACAGAGTTAGATTTAAGGTAGGGTGTTAAATGTAAGAGTAAGGCAGCGATCACTCTAATAGAGAACAACTTTAACACCCCACCCCACCCCAACATTTAAAGCAGCACATGTACATATGCTAATCCCACTATTAGAAAGCAGTTATTATAAATATAATGTTATTATTTTAGATAATTTCCTACTATATTCCTTTTCCTGATTCATGAGATGTTCCTGGATGTTTTTACCTTAGATCCTCACAGATTAAACCGTTATCTGTGTTGACAGGTGACTCGGAGCACAAACCCTACATCTGTGGTGACGCAGACCATGGCATCTTCCCATTAGATGGTTCAGAAGACTACCTGATTCTGGCCTGCGATGGCTTCTGGGACACGGTGAATCCAGATGAGGCGGTGCGCGTGGTCAGTGATCATCTCCAGGAGAACGCTGGGGACACCACCATGGTAGCTCATAAGCTGGTGGCCTCAGCCCGGGATGCGGGCTCTAGCGATAATATCACTGTCATAGTGGTCTTCTTGCGGGACCCTCGCTCGCCACCGCCCACCAGCACCGAGGAGGAGGAGGAGGGTGTGGTGGAGGGAGAGGTGGCGGACGAGGAGGAGGTAGCAGAGGTGGAGGAGGAGGAGCAAGAAGAGGAGGAGCAGGAGGAGGAAGATGAAGCGGTCAGGGTAGAGCGTGACGGCGGAGAGGGAGGAAGCAATGCGGACAATGGGGGGAAGAGCCGTGGAGGCTGGCCCCTGCAGCAGTGCTCAGCGCCCGCTGACCTTGGCTACGAAGACCGAACTGACTCGTTCACGGACAGAACTAGCCTCAGCCTGCTGGGGCCGGCGCTGGAGGGCCGCATCTCGCTGACCCGCGGCTCTTTCGGCCTTAGCCCCGACCTCTTTGCCGCCTCTCACATCTTCCGAGAACGCGCACTGAGGCGCAGGTCCTGTGTCCCTCTTCAGGAGTCCAGCATCTCTAGCTTCACGGACCCACTGTGGCCCCACACAGCCATGCTGTTAGGCCAGGCAGTGAGGCGAAGCCGCAAGCTCGGTTATGGTAGTCGCCGGTGGGGGCGGAGGTTGCCAAGCAGATCCAGGGAGCTGCTAGGCCTGTTACCATCTGGCCCCCTGCTGCCCCACATGCAGCGCTACTCCAACCGGAAATCCGGAGTGGCAGTGCCTCAACTGCCCCATGATGCCACCATCTGAAGATGTGACCCAGACCAAACCATCTCCTTCAACCCTCCTTCCTGCCCCGCAGTCCACCCATCCACCTTTGCCTTCAACAACACGTCAACATGTCTTTCTTTGATAGTTGGTAGTTGTAGCTCCTGCAGTTGTTATGTGATTATTGAATCTCTGTCAGAGGAGTGGTGCTCTCTGTCCTAAGCTGAAATGTTTCCAATTGTAAGCTGGCCCATTAACACAAGCCCCACTCCTCAATGCTGTAGGTAAAGCTCATAACTGCATTCTCCATTGGGACCACTGACCAGCCAAAATGAAGCCAGAGCTGGAAGTGCAGGTTAATAAGATGTGTTCAGACTGAAGGATACAGCCCACCGTAGGCACCTTACATAAAGTTTAGGTCTGAGTATTTCATCAACGAGGATATAAGTGAAGATTTAAAGGCAAATAACAGAAAGAACTGGACACCAGAAACATTTAGAAGCAGTTTTGTTGATGAGAAACATATTCAGTCTGAACACATTTAAGATTAATTTATGTGCTTGGTCGCTCTACAGACTATTTTGAAGAGACAATTTTAAAAAGAAAGAAGATGCAACACAGAAAAGATTAAATCTGGTACTTGAAGAAGGAAAAAATGAGGATGAAATAAAGGAAAAAATTGCACGGCTTGGTCAAAAGTATGTGGACAAAAGTATCATGTACTGCAGGGATCTGATCCCTTTTAGCCATCTTTACCGTCATTTCTTGTTACTCTCTTGTTACAATATATAAAATGTATAAGCCACCACCAAACTACTTTTGCTGGTTTGCTCATTCACACAAAGTGGACAGACGAGGGTGGAGGGTGGGGGGTGGGGGTGGGGAGTCAAATCTATCTCCGTAGCTCTAACTGAACTTCATGCTTTTAAGTGTAATCATCCACACATTTTTTTTAAATTCTGCATCTCACTGTGCAGTCATACCCAGGTATAAATGCACGGCGAGGTGTCACATATCATCTTTTCTTCTGAGTAAGCTACTGAGAATGTCGAGCGACCCAGCATTAAATTAAGCTCTAATAGCGCAGCCTGCCTCTCTGTCTCCTCAGCAATCCCTCGGTGGCAGATGAATAACATTCGTAAGCGGAGGCCGGAACAATTGTTGCTCCTGGTTTTTCGGACTGGAAGCACACGCTGTTCTGCCCCCTCCAATTCAGTCAATGACCCAGCCATTATCCAGCCACATTTGTCTACAGATAAAAGCACTTAGCACCGGATTATAAAAGATTAGCAGTCACTTACCTGAATAAATTCTTCATGTAGTCCATGTAGTCCAGATGGTGATATGCTCCTGAGATAATGGGGTTTTTATGCTCCTGAGATAATGGGGTTTTTAGAGCGGGTTTAAAAATAAAAACAAAAAAACTATTTCATCATAGTTTTGGTTGTTTTTGTTTTTTACAGAAAACCCAGTAAACAAAAGCATTTTTCCCACAGGTATTCCATACCTTCCATATTACTGAGTTACTGAGCTCCATGTCCTTCATACACCCGGTCACTCATTGTTTCATATCACCATTAAAGACAAGTCTGGCTTGTGCGTTCAGCCCAGTCATATCACGAGGCTCTAACATTTTTATTTTGCCAAAAAGAAAGTGTGATACCACTCTCACATCTGTCTGATAAATATGAAGCTATTACCAGCAGCTGATTGGCTCAGCTTACTGATGCTTACTTATGGATAACACCAATATCTATCACCACTATGTCTATCAAGATAGGATGACCATGCAGTATTTTCCAGCTGTATTATTTATTAATTCAGAGAAACAGGAAATTTTCTAAAAGTTTTTAATAACGTGGGGTCTGATACCCCACGTTATCAGTGGGGTATCAGTTTCTTCATCATTTCTTGTAGCAAAATAACCAGACTATTTTGCAACGTTGTAGTAACATTATAGAAAAATGTGGAGGTGATGTCATACATGTGAGGTACATTATAATGTTTTATGATGCTGCTTTGACTGGGCTTTCTCTTTTATGTTAGTATTATGTAATTTTTAAATGTTGAGCAAATGTAAGAGACCAGGAGGAGGCGTTGCCGCTACACTGCCCCAAACAAATTTTGTTGTAGGGTACCTGCTTCCAGTCTTCAAGCTAAGCTAAGCTAATTGACATCTGGTTTGCAGTGGCTTCTTGTTTAACTAAGTGTACAGATGTGGGAGTGGTTTCAACTTCTCATGAAGAAAGCGACCCAGCCAGTGTCCCCAAAACTTAGGAGCCTAAGAGACAGCTATCAAAATGTAAATAAAGAATCACTGCATAACAGTATATCACCGACATTACATAGTGCAGCTACTACTGTGCATTCACATCCTCCTTAGATGGTCCCAGTTGGGAAAATTGTTCTTCCGACTTCCGCTGTTCATGTAGCCTATAGCGTTTAATGTGAAAACAACATGAGTGCTACAAAGAAGACATGTTGTATTTTCTTACTAAGTGCTTTAAAAAGTACACACATATTCATAGCTATAATGAATTAATATGGATTTACCTGACTTGTTATCCAAAGTTATGGCAAATTAAAGAAAACATTTCCAAAATTAATTTTCATCACAAATGTGTATGAAAATGTGAATTTGCACCACTAATCAAAGATTTCTCAGTATAAGCCAAACACTTCATGTTGCTATGAGACAACACTTCATTTGTCTCGTAGCAACATTTTTGCAGACATTCAGAGTTGTTGTAACTTCAGGGCATGTTTTGCAGTTGGTAGCGAATTTTTCCAATTCCTTTCAACACCACATGAATAGACAAATAGCTGCCACTGTCAGAGAAATCCACTGTGGCTTACTCCCATGGCTTCACAGAGCCTTTATAATTGGATCTGATCTAGATTCTGCAATGGAGAGGCCCTCTGTGCTGTCCAACAGGCTCACTTCAGGTATCTTATCAGGCCATAGAAATCTTCAGTTTTTATACCAATTTGCCTGAAAAGATATTTATCCCATTTATGTTTGTTTTTTCATGTCTTACCCCAAATATCCACTCAGTACAGATCCTATAAACAATAATTCATAATCATAAATACCAAGCAACCATGTAGCCATCAAACAATAATCCTCTGACTGACTTTATGTGATAATACTACAAAGACAGTTTTTTTCATATTGGACTCATTAATCCCTTTCTAATGACACTAATAACACTTAAACCCAATTTAATCTCACTTTGCATTAAATATATTACCCTTTGTATTTCACCATACTCTATGGCTATAATCTAATGATACTGAAAATTTACTCTGAAAAATATTTACCTTTATACAGAAGCGTGCACTAATCTGATTGATTCCTGGCCAACAAACTTTAGTTCAAACAACACCTGTGGTTAGTATTTTTACGGGGTCATTCAATTTAGAAACAAAAACCTTGTAAAAGGTTCTCAAATACACCCTCATAACTAGCTAAAAACAAGAAGGTTACCATCCTCTCCAGCTACTGAGAATGCTAACTTTTTCACAAAAGAAAATAATTTTTGTACTGAGGGCAAAGTTAATTAGCTCCAACAAAAACCCTGTAAAGCGTTAAAAGTAAAAGGTATTTTGATACAACCCTCTTTAAAGCTTCAGGGGAAAAAACAACTTGGAAGCAGTATAAATCTTCTCTGACATTCAGCTGTTGATATTGGACTTTTAATGTTAGCCCACATGAGAGAAGGCTCGGATCAGGACTAACCAGTGTTTGGTGATTTTAATGTTTTTAGTGGCCGTGTTTTAGGACCACTCAGCAAAGACTTTAAAGGGGGTTAAAGTAGGTATTTATTTTGAATCATTATCTAAATTATCTTAAGACATTAAAAATCACCTGTAAAACCTGATTTTAAAAAAACTTTAAAAAGTTTGTTGATTTTTGCCACAAAAGTGGGATTTTTGTTCTCCATTAGCCACCATTGTTTCAGTTTTCCCCACATAATCTGGATTAATTTAGTGCCATCTGTCTCGTAGTCTGCTTTAATACTAGTAAACTAGTTATCCAGCTGAGCAGATATATAAAAAAGGTGGCGCACCTATAACTTTTTTACATATTCGCCATGCTTTATTTGTTATTAAAGTCCAACTTCAAATCCAGATTATCAAGGGTAACCAAACGCAAAACAACAACAGCCAGCGAGATTGCAGCTATTTAATGAGGTTACAATACGAGCTAGTGCACAGACAATATAAAAGATGGATGTAGCCACCATGACGTTACGAAGCCTTGGGCGGAACTTTTTCAGTGTTTTGAAACTCGATGCGACAACTGATCAATCA